ATTATATCATCCCACCAAAACAAAACTTATTCAAGCACAGTAATGATTTAGCCAGGACACATTTTTAGTTCTTCAAGCAACAAATTCTAAGGGAAGTTCAATTAAAAATTGTTTTCTTTCAAATTCTAGTATGAACAACAATGTGACAACAAACAAAACATACTGAAGGGGGGGGGGGGTCCCTGATGTAATAATTCATTTAAGAGGCTTAATAAAAATCTTGAGTTGTCTAATATTACGGGTGGGCTTGGAAACTTTGGGAGCTGGGGGGGGGGGGAGGGGGGGAGGAGCACAGGAAAAGGTAACTCTTGTAAGTGGATGCAGATGGCAAATCGTCTTCAGAACCACTGACATATAGCTCAAATTTCCTCTTCTGAAGGAGAATCATCCCATGCTAATTGTGTTTTTCTCGCTCTTCAACCTGTCCTAGCTAGTACATTCTCTGTCTGAACATTTGTCTGGGTGGGCTCGGGGAGCTTGTGCTTGGGGGCATAACCAGTGGAAGGGGCAACGGAAGTGAGTAGGTGGGAGAATCGTCTTCAGAACCACTGACATATGGCTCATATTTCCCTTTCTGCAATGTAATCATCCCATGTTGACTGCTGCGTTTCCTTGTCTGCATGGTGTGTCTCTCAGCCTCCTGGAATGGTAGGGTAGGATCTAGATGAGGAGGGTAGATGAGAGATGATACAGGGACGATGGTGCCTCCTATCATGTATCGAGGATCAGGGTAGGAGAAGCTATCGCTGTTACCGCTACAGCCGAGTTGAATGTAGTCCAGCATGTCGACAGTGTGTTCACCAGGAAGCATCTGAATGGGAATAAAATACTTTGTTTCATAACTTGTAACATATTTGAATTATTCATGTTGATCAACCTGTATATCATTAAAATACTTGAAACTTATCAAATAAAGTTTGATTGAGTTGTGTGTGTATCAAATTGAAGTGAAATAAGACAAAATATAAGATTGAAGGGAGTGTGCCTAAAAGTGTCTTTTCTTCATTTACATGAAACACACTCAATTGGTAAAATGATTTAAAGAATACAATGGTTAAAAAAATTGAATATTTCTAATTAAGTATACATCTTATACACATGCATTATAAAGAATTGTACTCTCACTCTTATCTTTCTTTGCATCATGATTTAGTTTGAAATATTCCATGTAACTTTTCAGAATTTATAGGATTAAGAATTATTCTGTTTAACTAGCTTTATTCGGTATAAGATCTAAGTGATGCAATTCCAATCTTTTGTACATACCATGCAATATGCACAATGATCATTCACAACAATCAATAATAACAAATATTTTGTGCACCTGTGTTTCAACCCGAGGGAAGAACTCATCGACTGGGGGCTGGTCTTGAAGTGTCCTTGCACACTCTTCAAATGCATTGACTCTCATCAAGCCCGATGGAGGTGCAGTGATGGTATGGGGGGCATTGGACACAATCAATGATGAGGACGAACCCCTTGGGATGTGAGCGGGCTGGGATGGCTCGTTGAGTCTGGGTGGACTTTTTGACTGGATCAAGATCGTGAAAAAAAGTTCATTGTTAATAAACATTCTGTATATTACTTTTTAGCAGTCCCCTCCATGACCAACCTATTTTATATGCCTGTTGTACACTGTGGACCAATTACAAATACATTAAATTTCATTGTTTTACTACCATTATGTACAATTCAATTCCATGTACTTTATTTTATTTTGTTGGAAATTGAAATAAACTAAATGAAATGAAATGAAATGAATATATTGCTTTTCTTCTCTATTATTATAGTATATATTTGCATTATTTAATTGTTTATTGAAAATGCTATGATATATTTAACTGTGAAAATTTAATCACTATCAAATATTCAAACATGTATCTAAATATTTTGACTTTCTTAATATAAAACTAGATGGAACTTCGACTGCGGGCAGTCGAAATGATGCCTCCGTCATAGAGCAATTTTACAAACCAAAACAGAAGAAATTGTTCAAATTCAAGTTCAATTGTAATCCATTAACAGGTTCTCAGAATATCGTGATTACAAGCAATTTCTCATATACATATATGACCCTTTGATCTTTGACCACATGACCCTAACATCTACTCAGTTCATTGGCTCTGCAAGATGTCCCGAGTTAAATAGTAATCCATCTGTCAGTTCTAATGAGAATGCGTTCACAAGCTATTTTTGCATACATAATGAGCCCATGACCTTTGACCTTTGACCTCATGACCCAAGAATCTACTCAGTTCATTGGCTCTGCAAGATACATACATGATCTAAGTTTGGCAGGAATCCATCAATCTGTTCTAATGTTAATGCGATCACAAGCTATTTTTGCATGCATAATGAGCCGCATGACCTTTGACCTTGACCTCATGACCCCAAAATTTAATCAGTTCATCGGCTCTGCAAGTAACATACATGACCTAAGTTTGGCAGGAATCCATCAATCGGTTCTTGAGATAACGCGATCACGAGCTGTTTCAGCATACATAATGAGCCCTGTGACCTTTGACCTCGTGACCCCAAAATCTAATCAGTTCATCGTCTCTGCAAGATACATACATGACCTAAGTTTGGCAGGAATCCATCAATCGGTTCTTCAGATAACGCGATCACGAGCTATTTTTGCATACATAATGAGCCCTGTGACCTTTGACCTTTGACCTCGTGACCCCAAAATCTAATCAATTCATCGGCTCTGCAAGATACATACATGACCAAAGTTTGGCAGGAATCCATCAATCGGTTCTTCAGATAACGCGATCACGAGAACGGGACGTACGGACGTACGTACGGACGGACGGACAACCCGAAAACATAATGCCTCCGGCTACTTCGTAACGGAGGCATAAAAAGATTTCCTCAAAACTGCTATTTCATGCATTTCATTTATTTTTTCTCGACAATTCGAGAGCTCTTTTAAAGCTCCCTACAATTAAAGCACTTTCATTTCTCATGTGTTTTTACTGAAACACATCTAAATGCTTACTGCTCCTTAGCTAATGGACAGGTTCTAAATGTCACTTATTGCAATCTTTCTCAAAAGTACAATGACAGTTCGAGAAATGCACAAAAATGAAAGATATGGATGATGGGTTTGATACCTTTGGGATCAGGTCAGATCTTCTCACAACATCGCCTTGTTGTAAACTGCTGTGACTGCTGTCCATAGACATTAGTGATGATTTTACACTCTCTGGAGAGAAAAAAGGATGATAAGCCTACAAGTTAACCATGGACCTCTGTCATAGGTCCATGGTTTGACATACATATGGAAACTATGTCAACAATTTATCTGGCCCAATCTACAAAAGCCAACATAAAGTGACAAATTCCATCACCAAAATAGTACAATTTGTAGGTCATGTTTTCATATTTTTTTGATAAAGTTCATATAGAAATGTGCTAAAAAAAGCAGATACAACCATCAACCAAACATGTCAGTTTCATCCGTGCAACTCTCTTAAAGGTTATTTTTTCAGGATACCACAATTTATATCAATTATTTTACGCACAACTAGGATTTTAAAATCACAACAGATAGTCTAAATTTAAAAAGAAGATATCAATCATACCTTTAAAATATAAGGGACAAAAACTAATACTAAAGCCATTAAAAGTAACATACATAATAAGAAATGAAACATAACAGAATGTCATGGCAACAAGCTTTGTTAATATCTCAACTCATACTGTATATTTTTCTTCCTCTTTCTCCCTCTCTCTTTTAACAAAATCTTTGCTCCCTAATTTTCCTCATCTCTACTTCCTGTGCTTGTCCACCTCTCTGATTACAAACTTTTTCATATAAAACTAGATGGAATTTTGACTGCGCGCAGTCGAAAATGATGCCTCCGCCATACAGCAATTTAAACAAGTTTGGAGCTTAAATCTCCAGTGGTTCTTGAGATATCATGATAACAATCTCAATGTATGGAATTTCATAAGTTGACCACTGTGACCCTTGACCTTTGACCTACGTGCTCCAAAATCTAATCAGATTGTCTTCCTATGGTGATACACACTATCATTAAGTTTGAAGTTTAAATCTCCAGTGGTTCTTGAGATATTATGATAACAATCTCAATGTATGAAATTTCATAAGTTGACCTCTGTGACCCTTGACCTTTGACCTACGTGCTCCAAAATCTAATCAGATCGTCTTCCTATGGTGATACATACTATCCTTAAGTTTGAAGTTTTTACATCTCCAGTGGTTCTTGAGATATCATAACAATCTCAATGTATGGAATTTCATAAGTTGACCTCTATGACCCTTGACCTTTGACCTATGTGCTCCAAAATGTAATCAGATTGTTTTCCTATAGTGATACACACTATCACTAAGTTTGAAGTTTAAATCTCCAGTGGTTCTTGAGATATCATGATAACAATCTCAATGTATGGAATTTCATAAGTTGACCTCTGTGACCCTTGACCTTTGACATACGTGCTCCAAAATCTAATCAGATCGTCTTCCTATGGTGATACATACTATCCTTGAGTTTGAAGTTTAAATCTCAAATGGTTCTTGAGATATCGCGCTAACAAACTCAATACAAGGAATTTCATAAGTTGACCTCTGTGACCTGTGACCTTTGACCTACGTACTCCAAAATCTAATCAGATCGTCTTCCTATGGTGATAAATACTATTCCCGAGTCTTAAGTTTAAATCTTAAATGGTTCTTGAGATATTGTGATAACGGTCAAACGGGACGGACGTACGGACGTACGGACAGACGTACGGACGTACGGACGGACGTACGGACGTACGGACGGACAACCCGAAAACATGATGCCTCCGGCACCACCTTCGGTGGCGGAGGCATAAAAATACTTCCCTCCATTCCTCACTGTGTTCCATCCCTTCTCATATACAGTAAAACCTGCTTTAGTGACCACCTGTCTACAAAGGCCACATTTGTCGCTTCCCTTGAAATTGGTTTCTCATTGAATCATGTACTAAAGGAACCTGTCTACAAAGGCCACTTTTTGTGTTTCCCTAGGGCGGTCGCTATAGTTGGTTTGACTGACTATGTTTTCACTACTGACCTGATTTTCTTTCAAACTCCATGTTAAGGTTTTTCCTCACAGAGGAGTGTCGCCTGGTGGGTATGTGAGATTTCCGAGGTGTCTTCAGGGCAGACCTAAAGCCAATAAAAAATTGTAAATTAATTTTCATTTTCATTCAAGTAAAACAGAAACATACTGTTATACAGAAAACTTTTATCGGTTGAGGATAATGATAAAATGTAGTTTTTTAAAGCTTCTACCAACCTCGAATTTGTTGTGCAAGCTTTCGTTCACTCCTGTGGAGTTTCTCAACAACCAAGTACCAAGTAAGCTAAGTGATCAGTCTGAGTGATTAACTACTGTTATACATTTAATCAATTAAACTTCAGAGGTCACATCATTTGCCTGAACAGATTTTGTAACATTATTTACATATTTTTGTAGCATTATACTGACAAACTTTGTACCATCTGTGATATATTGTATTCACATATTTTAAAGATGGGGACTAAGTTACACAGGGATTGTCTTAGGTTGTATTATAAATAAAACAAGTAAACAAATAAAGCATAATGTATTATAAAGAGAGATGACCTTCTTGTTATTCTATGAATATGACATGTAGTACTTTTTAAATCAATCAATTGGTTAACTGATCAATTAAAGTATTATATTGTAATCACCTTTGTCTTTGTCTATGTAGCTGTTTCACAAGACTATCTTTGATCTCTGAAAAGTAGTCTAAATGAAAAGAGAACAAACAAAATTGTTTAATCACTTCTAGATTGACGTCCATATTTAATATCGATAAAAAATACAGAGAACACAAGACCAATATTCTAATCAAATACTAAGGACTAAAATTATCAAAATTAGAAGTGAATTCACTGTCTTAAAGTAGAGTAGAGGGGTTAATCTATATTATGGAACAATACATCAAATGAGAATGGCTCAAAGTAAACAGACTAAAGTTTGTAAATTAGAACCTTACAACATGCGATATCTCTTTATACAGTAGTGATGCTAAAATTCCCATCTTTAATACAGTATTCTGACATGGAACCTACACATAAAGAGCATAATATTGTTTGTGATTCATTTTTCTTTGTCAGAGTTAGGGGGGGAACGTTTGCAGATTAACCCCACCCCAAACCATATTTATAGCCCTAACCCTAAACATGATCCCATTCCTCACCTTAATCCTCACCTTAAGGCTAAACCAAAAAAATTGTTGTACTGCCCTTTGCGACCGACCTCAAAATCTTAAAATCTACGATCGGCTTATTTAAATATTTTTAATGTAAACCTTTTTTAGAGAAAAAAAAATTTAATGAATCAAAAAATATATATCAAAGCATTCAAAACTGAAAAATATCAGCTCAAAGAGAGAAAAAAAAATTGACCTACCCGGGTGCTGGCACCTAAAGGGCAATACAACATCTTTTTTGTTTAGGCCTAGTATAGGGTAAGGGTATTCTGTATGTAAAGTAAAGGAATCGTGTGAAGAAAACAAGGGCATCTTTTAACTAAAGTGTCATTCTAAGTTCAAGTTTGCTGACACCGGTACCGGGTAAACTTTTACATACACATTTCAATGGGATTTTGCAAATTTTGTCATTACGAAGGTTTCGTAAAATGCTGCTCATACGTGGGTTTTTTTTTTCATCTTTCATTTTCAACATACCTCTACCAGGGAATACACTATTGAGATTAAATGATGACTGCATCATCTCTGCAGCTTCAGATACAGGTGATAGCTGAAAAAAAGGTGAATAAAAAAATACAAAACTTTGTATCTAAGTCCTTTTTTACCCATACATGTCAACAATACAACTAGATAATTTGATTTATTTAAATTTGCACATATGTATATAAAGCAATTAAATGAAATGTAGTGTATTATCTGATAGGTTAGTTTGTTGTATTTTGGAATTTCACAATAAATATGAAAACGGATATAAATTTGGGCCATGTATTTCAGCAAAAAAAACATAACAATATAATTCAACATCTACCCGAGATGTCATTTTTAAATAAAATGCATCACAGAATTAAGGAGGAGCGGTCTGGGTTCTAAAATTTCTTATTTTCTCATGTTATACCAATCTGAAACATTGATGAGAAGCAGCAATTCATTTTTCATTCTAAAGGATTCTAACTCTATCTAGTTTGTGTGCTCTCTTAACCCTTCTCTCCCTCTCTCTCTCTCTCTCTCTCTCTCTCACTCACTCTCTGCATGTACCATATTTATGTAAATGCATGGTGACTTTATGTGAAGTCTTCTTTCCAACTACAATAGCAAATTTGAGGGAAAAAAAAAAACTCAGTATCAAATAGTACTTCTACATCTGCATTAGATCATAATCATCAGATGAGATGGTGAACATTTATTCTGCATTTTAAAATTATCTCACAGTAAAATAACCTAACAAAAATATCATAAAACACAAACAACATTTTTTTTAATAGGAAATAATTGGTGGAACAGAAACCTACCTCTGGACTGGTATTGAGAGGAAGAATGTGATTCCTAGTATGAGTAATATCAAGATCCACTGCCCTTTCTATGTGACTTGATAAGCCTTTGTTTTGATCCATGTGAGAACTGAAAAAGAAATTAAATTTCACATTTAATGGATATTTCAAGAATGCTAATAAAGAACAATATACTGATTATTGAAATCAATCCCTTTAGTGTATCTACAATAGTATCATACACTGTAGCTTGTAGGAAACCATACCACATTGACATGCCCATGATTTCAAACAATTAGGTGTTTCACAAAACTTGTCATCAGTGACAAATGACAGTCTTTGTTATAAGCTACTGAAAATCCTTGCTTCTGATTGGTTATCAGCAGATTTGTCACTGATTTTTGAAATTTGTCATTGAAAAAAGGCTTTGTGAAACGGGTCCCTGATCATTTGCTAGACTGTCCTTAATTTGAATCCAGCTTGACCTTAATTTGGACAAAAACTGCAAAAGAGTTCCTACAATTTCAATCCTACTGTTGATGTGACCACTAGAAACACTTATCAGGAATATTTTAACCCTTTACATTTTCAAATGTTATAGTTTCCTTCTAAATCAGATCACATCTGGATTGTATATTGGGTTTTCTACTTTCAAGTCCTAGTATAGATATTTTTCACAAATTGACATCACAAAAAAAGTACTGGCTGACATTGAGAAGTGTTCATAATAGTACTCACGGAATGACAGCGACTGGTTTTGGAGTTGAACTAACAGCGACTGGTCTTGATGCCTGAATATATGCTTCGGGAGAAGATGGCTGGACTACTTGTACTAGACCTAGACCCATGTCATCCAGGATCAGGGGTGAATCTAGGTTTGGGGCCGGTGGCAGGTTAGCTTCCGACACATCAAGTATCTTCAGTAAGCTTTCCTTGGTTTTGATCCTCACAGCATCAGGTATTTTCAAATCTGTTTAAACAAAACAAAAGCAAAATAAACAAAAATCTGAAATTTTGAAGAGGTCCAACAGTAATTGCAAATTGATTCAAATGTAAATGGACAATTGTGCAGAATCGTGATAAATTCATGAATTTTAAATGAAAGTCAAGCTCATTTCAGAATTTCAAATTAACAAATGAATTTAAAGTGCTATCAAAAGTTATATATGTTTTCTTTCAAACAGGATGAAAAATCAGTATTTTTCCCTTCACTAGACTTATATTAATAGATTTCTTCTTCTTTTTCTTATAATAGTTCCCATTGTTCTCTTTCTTCAACAAGTAACCAAAAAATGTGCACAGAAAAAAATGTCTAGTAAAAAAGAAGCATTTTAAGGAAAACATAACATTTGTTAAGTGCATCTCAAATCGCTATGATGCTTACCTCGTAAGATCCTGTCTGATTTCTTGGCCTTGTTATACATTCCAAGGGAGGTCTGAATAAAATATTGAAAAAATTAAAAGGTAACTGGAAGTATTGCTAAGCCGAAACATTACAAAATGTACTATTTTCAGTTTAAAACTTCATTTTTTACAACATACACTGTTCATAAACATTTTTCTTCACTGACATTTAATTCCAACAGCAAAAGCAATAAAATGAAACAATAAAGCCTGACATTATTTTTAGTATTGGTGTTTTCATTATTTTACTGATTAAGTCAGACAAACATGAGAACAGAGAATGAAATGTTAAGTAAAAAAACAAATTCAAAGTCCATACTTACAGTGATTCTACTCTGTGTAATAAGAGGCACATGCTTGTGAGGATCTGACATCATAGGGTATTCCATTTTGTTACTCTACAAACATGAAGAGAAACAATAGAGTATCCTTGTACTACCCTATTTGTGCCAACAATTTATCATATGAAGTTTTAATTTAAAATCTCTAAGTTTTGAAAGGTAGGCTTGCTATCTTGAATTAATTAATGGTATTCTGTTAGGGTATTCTGATTTAAAGCCCATCTGTACTAGTCTACCGGAGGGACCACCCTGCAAGGTCACTGACAGGTAGTTATCTCATCAAATCAGCTCTCAATTAACATAAGAAAAAGAGTATCATGGGGGACCAATGGTCACCGATTAAGCATTGTTTGCTATAGAGGGCGCAAGTAGCTATAAGTAGTGCGGTGGGGCTTTAAGGTATGGAGTTATCAGGTTTAGGGTAAGGGTTTTGGTTTGGCATAGTGTTAGGTCCCAGGTAATAGTTAGGAGGATGAGAAATTGTTGCCAGGGCACATTTCTGGTATCCAGGCTTTCAATGGCTGAACAAAGGAGCAAAGTGTAGAGCATAAAGTGTAATGGGATATCTGTCGGACGAAACGTGCATTCTGTCTCTTTCTCCCTCTCTCTCTCTCTCTCTCGATAGACTATAGATCGTTCAATCAATCAACTTTCTGAACCTTGATATATTCATCTGTTTTCATTCTGTAAAATCTGACATTTGATATGTCTGATGTTATGTTCTACTTACCGATGTCATATCTTGAGCATGCCTAAGGTGTTTCTGACATTCTGATCTTGACCCTCCATTCGCCTACATTCAAAAAGAAAATCATGTTTATTTAGTTTTGTATCCAATTTCATTTGGCAGATTTAATTTATATTTGATTCCACACAGACCTGTCAAAGGTAGTAGATCTAGACCGAAATTTATAATTTTTAAAATTATTATTCACAAAGTTAACACTGTTTTATTGGGTTCTTTGATTTGTAATCATGCCCATAGTGTTACCAGTAATAAAATTGAATTGATCATAAACTAGCAAATTACAAAGGTTTATTTGTAAGATAAATTTATTCTTTCAAACCTTTTCATGTCTTTTCTTCTTGTTGTTTCGTTCAGCATGTGATTTCCTCCTCTTTTTCCTGGAATGTGAGCTCTTTGAGGCAGCAGTGTGATGATGATGGAATGTCTCTGTTTCTTTCAGTTTGTCTTTCACAGATTTCTTTGCAGATTTGCTAGGACAAAAGCATTGATTAAATATAGTTTTAAAAAATACATACTAATTACTACTAATACTAGACTTATTCCTTAAACCCAGATTTCAGGTAGATCTAGAGCTAACTATTAGTATTACTAATATTTTATTATTAGTGTGTCTAAATCCAGATTTAACATAACATTATCAATTAAGACTCAGAGGAGTAGAGGTCAGATGCATCATGCAGACTAGCTAGTGACTAGAAGTCTAGAGACAGTACTAGTTTCTGTGTCTTTATATGGACTAACATTAAAGTAACAAGTCTGTCAACACGTATTGAAGAAGAAGAAGAAGAGTAGAGTAGCCTAGATAATATATCTAGGCCTAGACTTAGATAGTCATACTCATAGACATTCTGCTTGTCTTTGAAGACTTTGTCCGACTTTGGCTTTGATTTGGCTTTATATTGAAACTTGAAAGCCTTTTTTGTGTGGACATACTAGGCCTAGTCCTAGTACTAGTACAAGTAGTAGTAGTAGTAGTAGTAGAGATGAATTTACTTAGCAAAACAAAATAACTTGACGTCTTTTTCGTTGATTCCGACAAAAATTGGATGAATATTGTCTAGATTATGAGGGGCTGCATCTTTTGATATAAACATTGGTGAGTCTTGAAATTTGAAATGTATTATTCTGATTAAATGTTTTTTTCAATTATCCAACCATAACTAGTGAAAAATGATCCCAAGGGAAAATTGAAAAAATCGTTCAGACACCTGGCTGTAGAGTAGATAGTTTAGTCCAACAAGACTCCAACTTCCAAGAGACAAAGTCTAAACAAAGCTAAATGCAAGCCTTAAAATAAAGGTGCATCGTCTTGACTCATGCATACATGAGATGGGTCATGGCATCAATAGGCGTAGACAGAATTTTCCGTCTCTTTCGTTCGTTAGCCTCTTATTGGGGTAGGGTCGGCTCTCTCTTTAGAGACGGAAACCGTCTATACACATTCCCTTGATAACGCCACGGCCATTTCAGGTCGTAGCGTTTTGCCCCCAAAATCCCCCAAAATGTCATTTTACCTCGTGCATGTTATATTGTAAATTAGGCCTAGGCTATAATAAATCAGTTCCACTTACCAACTTGACTGAAATAATCAGTTTAACAGTCCCTTTTTAGGAATTTATGGGTCAAAATCGAAATCCATGTTGAAAAAGATTTTCAAAATGGATTTCGATTTTGACCCATAATTTCCTAAAAAGGGACTATTAAACTGATTATTTCAGTCAAGTTGTTAAGTGGAACCGATGTATTATAGCCTAGGCCTAATTTACATGTGGATATGCACGAGGTAAAATGACATTTTGGGGGATTTTGGGGGCAAAACGCTACGACCTGAAATGGCCGTGGCGTTATCAAGGAATGTGTATAGA